GTACTGGCAGAAAGACAGATACACAGACCAATGTAATAGAATTGAGAACCCAGAAATAAACCCACATACATATGGAAAGATAATTTTTGACAAAGAAGTAAAAAACATACAATAAACAAAAGACAGCCTTTTCAATAAATGGTGCTGGGTGAATTGGAAAGCCACATGCAAAAGAATGAAACTAGACTGCTACCTGTCACAGTGCACCAGAATTAACTCAAAATGGATCAAGGACCTAAACATAAGACATAAAACAATAAACTCATAGGAGAAACCATAGGTACTAAACTTATGGACCTTGGGTTCAAAGAGCATTTTATGAATTTGACCTCAAAGGCAAAGGAAGTAAAAGGTAAAATAAATGAATGGTACTATATCAAACTAAAAAGCTTCTGCACAGCAAAAAATACCATTGACAAAATAAAAAGACAACAAACCAAATGGAAGAAGATTTTTGCAAATGCCTCCAATAAGGGGCTAATATCCAAAATCCATAAGGAACTCATACAACTCAACCACAAAAGAACAAACAATCCAATTAAAAAATGGGCAGAGGACCTGAATAGACATTTCTCCAAAGAAGACATACAGATGGCCAATAGACATATGAAAAGATGCTCAACATCACTAATCATCAGAGAAATGCAAATAAAAACCACAATGAGATATCACCTCACACCAGTTAGAATGGCTATCATCAGCAAGAGAAATAATAACAAGTGTTAGAGAGGCTGTGGAGAAAAGGGAACCCTCATACACTTTTGGTGGGACTACAGATTGCTGCAGCCAGTGTGGAAAACTGTATGGAGGTATCTCAAAATATTAAAAATGGAACTATCTTATGACCCAGCAATTTCACATTTGGGTATTTATCCAAAGAAATCCAAGACACTAATTCAAAAAAATATATGCACCCCTATGTTTATTGCAGCGCTAGTTACAATAGCCAACATATGGAAACAATGAGAATGCCCATCAATAGATGATTTGATAAAGAAACCATGATATATTTATACAATGGATTATTACTTGGCCACAAAGAAGAGTGAAATATTACCATTTGCAATGACATAGATGAACTGTCACGTCCAGCGTGGCAAGGGCAAACGGGTTTCTCTTGAGGGGCGGCGCAGATTGAATAAAGAGATAGAGACAAAAGTAGGATTAAGAGGGAGACCAAGGGACTCAGTCAGAGAAAACTGAGCCCCGAATCGGGTCAGCTCATGGCTTTTAATTGAGAATTTTCAAAGAAGTAAAACTGCTGTCAATCAAATTAGCATCCGTTTGAGGTCTGGGCCTCAAAGCCTTTTTTCTTTAACATATCCCATTATGTTCCAGCAAATGCTATGCCTTCGCATATCCACCACATAGCCCCAGGACACCTTGTTACTGTGTCCTCCCAGAGGAGATTAACTGTTAGCATTCCAACAGGTCCCAGTCGCACCTTGAGACACTCCCCAGAGGGAGCCTTATTGGCCTCAGGTCATACCAGGGCACTCCCTCAGAGAGATTGCAGCCTCTGGTCATACCGAGGCTTTTCTCTCTTAACTAATGGGATTAGAGGCTAAATGCAGGGGGGGCATGTTAATAGAAATCTGCTGTCAGGCAACAATGAACCTAGAGGATATTATGCTAAGTGAAATAAGTCAGACGGAGAAAGGCAAATACCATATGATCTCACTTACATATGAAGCTTAAGGAACAGAATAAACAAACAGACAAAACAGAAACAGACTCAGAGATATAGGGAAAAAAACCTGAGGGTTGCTAGATGGGAGTGGGGGGGGGATGGGGGAGAAGGTGAAAGAATTGGAAAGTACAAATTAGTAGTCACAATATAGCCATGGGGATATGAAATACAGTTTGGGGAATATATCAATAATGTGGTCAAGATTTTGTAGGGGGTCAGATGGGCACCTGTCTTATTAGGGAGGCCACTTCATGGACTGTGTAGATGTCTGACCACTACACTGTATACCTGAAGCTGAAGCTGAATGATATTGAATGTCAAGTATAATATGGCACCAGGGGTGCCATAAAAATGTATATACATTTTCAGAGATGTTATCTATACTCAAGCAATAGTTCGCTGTAGTCAAAAGTGTCTGAACGCTGATGGTAACCACTTTGAGCACCTCTTGTAAATGTAGAAGTCAAATGTGACTTGTATTTATCTTTTGTTATCGGTATAAATTGAGTATTACAATCAATACAGTTTTTCCTTTCTTAAAATGTGTATTCTTTTTTTGGCACGTGTGTGTGTGTGTGTGTGTGTGTGTGTGTGTGTGTGTGTGTGTGTGTACATACATACAGTAAGTCCCCGACTTATGAAAGAGTTCTGTTCTGGAAGAATGTTTGTAAGTCGGATTCGTTCGTAAAGTCCGACAAAGTGAGTCTTATACATCTTTGACACAAATATATAATGTAAAGCATAAAAAACTAAACACACACACAAATACTGTAAATAAACATCCTGGGCTCTGATTGAGCACTGTACTACTGCACACTATTGCACTGTACAGCAAGCACACAGCAGCACAACTGTGACAATGTCCGGCAGACACATAAGCTACTTCTGCGATTTGTTCTCAACTTGAATGTTTGTAAGCCGGGGACTTACTGTATGTATATATGTATGTATATATAATATAGTCACGAGATGTGAAGTACAGCATAGGGAATAGAGTCAATGGAATCGTAGCAGCTATATACGATGTCAGAGGGGTCGTAGATTGGGGGAGGAGGGTTATCATTTTGTGAGGGGTGTAAATGTCTAACTATTACTTTGTTTTGTACACCTGAAACTAAAACAAAACAAAACAAAAAGCCCACCACAGTGATGTAAATTTTTTCCAAGATCAGGAGGACAATAAGAGTTTCATAAGTAAATTTCCTCTGCCTCAGCTGCAGTTATAGAGGGACATTTTAAACTAGTCACTTCAGCTTCCATCTGAATAAATATCGTTAGTAGTCCTTGATGGGTTAGAGGGTAAGCAGGTTCCCATAATTGGGTTCTAGCATTATTAATACACAAAATTCCTTTCTCAAGATTCCTTTTCCACAAAACTTCTAAAACTTCCCATGTCCTTCTTAGTTTGTCTGGTTTTACTCATTAACATTCCTTCTGAATTTCAAAAAAGAAACCGTAAAAAGAGTGCTACTGATAATACAAAAGTTATTTTATATAACTTCAGCAAATTTTAACAGTTAGGCTATATAAGAACAAGGTATGTGAAAAGCCCAAAGAACAAGTGTAACTATTAGTATGACTACTGTTATTAGCAGGCAGGTAAAGACAATCAAACAAATAGGCATTCAAGCTCAACATCAATTTGCCAGTATATAGACCTTCTCTTGGGATAGCTGTCTACCTCTGATGTCTGTGGCTCATCATCCTCCAGGCATCTTTGATGTCTGCTGTAGGCAGGGGCAAGTGTCAGAGGTTGGGACAGATGTCTGTTTATAGTTAGGCACACCCCCCACCTCTTTTTTTCATGAGAAATGTGAATCCTTCAGTAACACCTTTAAGTTTAACTGCATATGGATTAGTTAGTACTACCTGAAAAAGACCCTTCCTATGAATTTGGAGAGAGTCTTTAATTGATGTCTTTTCCAATGGACAAAATCTCCTGGTTGTAAGTCGTGGTCTTTGAAGTATTTGTCTCCCAAGAGAACACTGTGAAATGAATCAGTTATTAATTTATCAATTTCTTTAAGCTGGTTGATAAGTTCTTGATAATAATGTAAATGTCTCCTTTTAGTAATGTTGGTTCATGTGTCCCTTCATCCAGATGCATAGGATGACCAGTGACTAATGAGGAGAAAAGCTGTGTTTACCATAAGGAATATCTCAGGTTGAGATGCACTATAAGGAAAGTTTTTGGCCAAGGGAGATTAAAAGCTTCTGAAAATTTACCTAGTTGAGTTTTAATTGTACCATTTGTACATTCCACCATCCAGAGGACTGGAGTGATAAGCACAATGAAAATTCTGTAGAATACACCAATTACAAATTGACTCCATTATTTGCCCAGTGGAATGAGTCCCTTGGTCACTATGTAACTCAGAGGGATCTCCCCAAGTGGAATTTTTCCACTCAATAATAATTTATGTACTATTAAGGCTGTTGCTCACCTGAAAGGGAATGCCTCAACCCAATGAGAGAATATACAAATCGTAACTAATAATTTTTGTATATTTGAGATGGTGGCATTTGAATAAAATCCAATTACCATAACTCCAATGGACCTAAAGGAAATGGGAAGTGTCCTTGGGACCCGTGGAATGATTTTCCAGGGTTATATTTTGAATAGATAGAATATCTGCTATACACTTTATGAGCTACAGTAAAAGAAGGTTTCCAGTAATACTGTTTACTCTGTGAAATAATCTTCTCAGGCTCCCAATGCATTAGCTCATGTACCTAGAGGTAAGGTTAGGTCTAACCATATCCCTTTGGGTCAACGGTTTCCCCTTTTTGTTGTTATATTTTCTTTTCTTCTTCTGCAACTCTCCATTGGAATTGTAAAAGAGGGTCTTTTATTGATTCAATAGGGAGAAGAAACATTCTCAGATCTGAATAATTTGGCTGCTTATTGCTGCTAGTCCAGCTGCAGCATCGGTTAAGTTATTTTCTTTTTCTTCTGCAGTAGCAGCCTTAGAATGCCCTGGAATTTTGATAATTGCCAACTGTTCTTGGTTGCTGTATGACATCTAATAATTTTGCAACCTGTTTCCATTATTTGGACTGTCCTGATGAAGTTGAGAAGCTTCACTGCTTCCACAACATTCCAAAGTCATGAACTGCACCAAAGGTATAGCAACTATCAGTGTAATTACTGGCTATTTGATCTTTGGTCAATTGACAAGTTTGAGTTAGAGCAATTAATTCAGCTTTTTGGGTGGATCTTTTTTTAATTCAGGTAAATAAGAACTTTAAATTATTCTACCATGGAAGTTATTGCATATTCAGCTTGGTAATGTTCCTCTTTGTCTTTCAGATAAGATCCACCTGTAAACCAAATTAAGTCGGCATTATCAGTAGGAGTTTCCTGGAAATCATTCCTAGGACTAAGAATGTGTTCAGTAAGCAAAACACAATCATGGGTATCTTCGTCCTGCAAAGAAGGTGACAAAGTGCTGGGGTAAGACTGTTACACTGAGCTAAAGTGATGTTGGGTGCAGAAAGCGAGAGTACTTCATAAGAAGCCAGTTGGCTGATGGAAGTGTTGCACGTGATGGCAGTTCAGTGGAAATTCAACAGAATGAGGAACATAAATAAAATAGAACCCATAACTATTTCTTCTGTTTGTTTGTATATTATGACTGTGGCAGAGATGGTTGTTATGCCAGGAGGGAGCACTTTGGCTACTGAGTCTAATTGCTGAGTATAATATCCTAGAAATCTATGATGATTTCTATGGAGTTAAAACTCCTAAAGTATTTTCTTTATTTTCATGTATAAAAAAGAAGAAAGTTTATAATTAAGGTTTTGCAAATGGAGCTTTAGATAATGCTTCTTCAACTTGTTTCTGTTTGGAGTTCCATTGAATTGGGTCAGGTCAATCTGATTTTAATAAGATATATAGAGGTTGGGCCATTAATGAAAAATTTGGAATCCAATTATGACAGTATCCAGTCAGACCTAGGAACTCTCTAAGTTCTCTTACTGTTTGTTTGTTTTCGGAAAAAGAAAGGATATGATTCCTCTAAGTCTTTCTGGGTTAATTAATAGTTCATTTTTAGATATGAGATGACCAAGGTATTTTACTTGAGGTAAAACAGCTTGTCCTTTGAGACCCTATGTCCCTTTATGGCTAGCTATTGTAATAGGTAAATTGTGTATTCTTGGGAGTCTAACATTTCCTAAAGCACACAAGTAATCACCCACATATTAGATTAGAGTGGAATTTCTGGGAAATTCAACATCATTCAAATCAGCCTTTAGTATCTGAGAGAAATAGGTGGGATCCTTAATATATCCACTGGGCATTACTGTCCAAGTCAATTCTCATCTTCCTAAGTGAAAGCAAAGAGGTATTTACTGTCTTTTTTTTTTAACAGAAATGCTGAAAGAGGCACTACAAAAATCTATCACTGAAAAATATTAACAGTCCACAAGAATAGCTGATAATAAGGTATGTGAATTTGAAACCAAAGGATGTCTGGAAATAACCATTTAATTTATAGCTAATAGCTATGCGGTCCTATACAGATTTCTTTTTCTTTCTTTCTTTCTTTCTTTCTTTCTTTCTTTCTTTCTTTCTTTCTTTCTTTCTTTCTTTCTTTCTTTCTTTCTTTCTGTTTCAGGTGTACAAAACAATGTAATAGTTAGACATTTATGCCCCTCACAAAGTGATAAACCCCCTCCCCCAATCTACTACCCCTCTGACGTTGTATATAACTGTTAGAATTCCATTGACTCTATTCCCTATATCTATTGGGTTTCTTTACTGAAAGGATAGGAGAATTCAGGGGCTCATATATGGAATTATAAGTCCTTTCTTTTTAAAAATAAAATACATTTTACTTTAGTCAATACTATAAATAAGATGTCACAAACTATTTTTCTAAATTTCTCCATTTTCTTGAAAGGCTTTTGATGTTAATTTTATATTTAAGTGATTGGTTTTTAAATTTATTTTCTATTTTCAATAACAGTTGACATTCAATATCATTTTATATTA